TTAATAATTAAAATGTGCACAATTCAAATAGTTTAGTCATATTACTGACTATACAGATGTCCACTGAAAGTGGAGTTGCTTATAAATACAGTGTGATATTTCATTAAAAGAAGCTGTAATTGGCCCTTTATGTCTTATTGATCAGAATACTTCTCTTTATTTCAGCACACTTTCACTTTCATTCTGCGGTGTTTGACCTCTCACTGTTTTATATTGTTTTATTATGTTTGAGATTCAGCTCGAGCTCCAAATCACGTGATTTACTAGAAGAGACGCGGTTTTACTCATTAAACCTGAATATGTTGAATCGTGCGCAACTGAATTCGCCAGATGAGTCTCTTTTATTCAGACAAAATCATAATCTGGTCTAATATTCAGTGCTGTGTTTTATAATTTAAATAAACATCTGTATGCATGTACTGTATTTACTGGAGAGTTACAGGTTGTTCTTAAACAAGACCAGTGTATTAATATGTAATCTGGATTTCGTAATATGGTTTTTAAAATATTTGTAATTAGAGTAAATTGCTTTATAAAATACTCGTAAGAGGCTGAAAATCTCCCCAAACCACGTGACCGACTCTATAAATGCGGCAGATGGAGATTCTGCTGCACTCCTGGAGAAACACAGGTGAGTACAGCTATTTCATCATTATGATTATCATTTACCGTCTGAAACACCTTCATAATGTTAATAATAATAATATAATGATGATGAATATTGATTTTTATTTTTGAAATAGATATATAGATAAAACTAAATAAGAAAAACGATAGATAGATAGATAGATAGATAGATCGATAGATAGATAGATAGATAGATAGATAGATAGATAGATAGATAGATTTAACCTGTTTATTGGTGTTTTAATTTCCTTGTATAGACATTTTTTGAGTGAATCAATAACATTTTGGGCTCATGAAGGTATTTAAATAAGCGCAAAATGTTGTTGATTCACTCACAAAAACAAACGACTCTAAAGATTCAGTAAAAGATTTGCCTTGCTTTTACATTGTGCTTTCTTCAAATGAGCGGGTGTTGTTCTTTCCTTATTAATTAATTAATTAATCTATTTATTTGACAGATTATCTATACATCATAAATTATCCAAGCAAGTAAAAGCGCGTTATGGTTTTGATTCATTCAAAAGAACCGGAGCATAAGATTCATTACTCCGGCTGTGCATTGGAGTCATTAAAAAGAACCGGTTCGTAAGAGTCATTTGTTTGCGAATCAAACAAATGTGATTTCTATGCATTATTTAATTTAGCTGTTTTTATTAAATTACAAACTAACATTCAGAGTAATCATATCTGTCTTTAAGAAGCATCTAAATCATTGCAATTACATTCAGGATTCATTAGCTACCTCTCTTTAGTTCATTTTGAACATTCAGAACTTTTGTTGGCAAATTTCACTATAAACACATTTATGAAGAATAAGCTTGCTGTTTATGCATTCTAACTAAATAACCGGTTCTGTTTGTCTTTTTCATGTCTTTCTGTGGTATTTTAGGCATCTAAATAGGAAAATTCACAAGTGTACACCTGAAACCATGCCGGCACGCAGAGGTGAGAAATTCTCCAGACTTATTCATTACAATATATGATCAGTGTTGGGTGAGCTACTTTAAAATGAAGTCATTAATCACTAATTACATCATTCAATTTGAGTTTAAATTACGTTTCTAATTACTAACTTGATTTAAATACTACTTAAAATCCCTATAAACCTCATATGAATATAAGGATCCCTTTTTATTTCAGGCAGTATCATATTTTGGTCTAATATTCAAAGTGTTGTGTTTTATAATCTCTTATAACAGCCAAAAAGCCGAAGCTGGAGATCAGCAAGTCTAAGGAGACGTCTGCGTCCTGCTCCATTAATACAGGTGGATGTAAACACTTAAATCACATCAGTATGAAACAATGCTCTATCTGAAGCTATAAACTGGGTATTCATATATAATCTGGATTACATTTAGCAGATTTCAGAAATCAAAATACTTGTAAGAATACTCAGTCAGGTTACTTTTTTATGGATTGCTTATGATTATTTATTATTTACACAATGACAGTAAGTTAATCAGAGTTCATTGATTCTCTTCGATTTACTTTTTATTTAAACATTGACATTTTTCGTAATAAACTACTATATGTTTGTGATTCTTGGTGTTTTAATCCGCTTCAATATACATAATGTGGCATTAAATACGGCTTAGCACAAGAGTAATCTAAATGTAATCCAGAAGTAGTCCCATTACATTCATAAATATGTAAAATAAGAGATTATATTACTGTCTACAGATTCGTAATGTAATGTGTAATCAGTAACTGATTGAAACAAAGGTTAGCACAAACGTAATCCAAAAGTAGTCAGATTACATTAGCATGTGTAATCTAAAAATTATATAGTGACTAGTAATTTTGTCATGTAACTGATTACATTTCATAAGTAATCCCCAAATAATAGTAGTGTAGTAATTGATTATATTTTAAATAATCAGATTCCACTAATTATATACTTTTAAATACAGTAAATTACTGGTAATCAGTTTAGTTACTTTTTATGAATAACATTATTATGAACATTATGGATATTATTTACAAAATGTCTTTAATTTGTTTACATTTTATTGATTGTCCTAATATTGCACTTTTTCTTTTTTAAACATTTATTTTTATCGTCTTGAGTTTATGTGACATCAAATAAGAGTGAGCCCTTAAGTTATCTAAATGTAATCCAGAAGTAGTCCGATTACATTCATTAATATGTAATCCAAAACATTATTACTGACTACAGATTTTGTCATGTAATTTGTAATCAGGAACTGTTTACATTTCAAAGTAATCCACCAATAGTAGTAATGTAGTAATATATTATATTTACATAATCAGATTTCAAATATTAAGCACTTGTAAGTAAACTAATTTTAAAAATATTTGTAATCAGATTACAGTCACTTTTTAGGGATTACATAATTACATATTATTTAGACAATTCTTAATTTTACATTTTTATTAACATTTATCTTTTTGTCTTGCGTATATATATATATATATATATATATATATATATATATATATATATATATATATATATATATATATATATATATATATATATATATATATG